TGCTGCTACACTGGCTCTTTCTCATGTGATGATTTTCACAAGGTGAACCAATGCATCCCCTGCCGAGATTGCACCTGAGCTGGCAACCTATTTGCGCGATCACGGGGACTGAGGACACGAAGACAAATGCAAACGAGATCACCATGATCGTGCCTGCAAGAGTAATGAGGGGGCCTGTTTCTTCCAGGCTCAGCCTTACTGCAGATGCATTGTCGTAGCCCTGTTGTCTGCGCTCATACACACGAGCAAAGAGAAAAAGGTCGTAGTCCATAGCTAGAGCAAAAAGAAAGCCACAAGTACTGTGGACCATTGTCCACTTCAAGCCACCAGTGGCATCAAAGCCCGCCCAGGAGAGCCAACCGTCTTGATAGACACCAACTGCGAAGCCATACTCTGCAACGATGGGAAGTGCTATGGTGAAGACCTGGCAAGGGCAGACTCAGGACACGGCCTATCCCCAGTCAGTGAATCAAATAACTCCACCACTGAGAAGGAAAGAATTTGGGCAAGGGACCATTTTGACTCCCACGAAGGTGGACTGGAACAGAGCAGCCACCATAGAACAAACAATAAACAGCGTGATGCACAGGATCCACGGGGCAGCTCTTCTATACTGAGCCTCAAGCAACATATCCTCTGCAACTGGAGTGTAGAGCTGCAAGGCGAAAAGGGTTTCGCCATGACCGTTCTGGATTGACACGTTGGGCTCAATGACATCCCAAAAATGGTGAATCAGCCGCTGAGCACCTGCACCTTGTTGATTGTCTATGTCTGGAAACATGAACATACGCTGTGAGGACTTGTCATCTGAAATGAACCTTTCATGCATTTGAGGATTGTGTGCGCACGACCCAGTCACGGAGTCCCACCAATATCCGACAACGTCATGGGAGGTGACATTTGCTGAGCTGCAGGTATCATCTTTCAAAACAGTGCGAACAACATGGCAAGCTGCCTCATGGAAAGGCTTGCTTTGGGTCCAATCATTTTCCGATGCATTTGCCAAGAGTTTTGTGGACATCATGAGCAAGGTCATCTGATTTAGCTCACGGTCGTCAAACTTCTCCCGGAACATGTGATACGCACGGTATTCCGCAACTGATTTCGAAAAATCGGTGGTGGTAGAATCAAAGTTGGCACGGAATTGCCACATATGGAGAATAAGCGGGCTGAAGCACGCAAAGACCACAAGCGGCACTGTGTAGCTCCAAGGCTTTCGTGTGACCATGTCGGCCACTGGCCTGAAGAATCCTACCTGTATCATCTTTGACCCGGTTCGAGTCCAGTTCCAACAGATACTGCTCTCGGAAGGCTCATCAAACATCCATGGAAAAATAGATGCAAGAACCGAGGGCACAGCAATGCTGTAAATGCCCACGAACAAGCTTCCAAATGCCAAATTCAATGTTGCATACAAATAGCCGAGCTTGTTCAGATCCGGATAGCAACTAGCACCAAAGAACGTTACGACGAGGATCGAGGTGCTGAGAAGAATGACGAAGCCTGAGGTCTGCAAAGTCGTCATCAATATATACTCCATGCTGGCCGTTGCACGCGAGCGACGCTCCTGGGAAAAGCGAACCCAGAAGAACAGAGAGTAGTCGAAGGCCAGCGCAAGCTGAACAAAGAGAATCTGGGTATCTGGTCCAACCATATTCAAGTCTGGCCAGAGGGTCTTGACCAGCACAACAAGACTTCGCGAAGCAGGGACGCTGGCGATAAGGCAAAGGCACGGCGTGATGGCACGGGGCAAGGTACCAACGCCCAGAATCAGTAGCATTACCAGGAGTGGTGTGCTCAGGGTAAGGTGAAACAGTGTCTCATGGTCACACTGCTCATAGGAGGCATCGACGACCGAATGCGGACCGGCCATTGCTACATTGAGGTTCCCAAATCTTCCATCCACTTCCTGGACATACTTGCGGATTTTGTACCTTGCCAAAGGTGTCTTCGACATGTCTAAAAAGATTGCTCAAATACCATAAGGACACAGTAGCCCGAAATTCCGATATGACCCTGGCTTGAGAGCCCCCCGCGTCCCCCAATGCAAGGCAAAAAGGATTGCACATGAAACGCGTCGGTACAAGCATCCGTTCCGGTGTCCCAGGTGAGCTTTCACTTGCAAGTCAAGCCTGATGACTGCAGCATCTTTGCTTGCGGAAATTTCTGCCGATTTCCAACGTAGCTTTTGGCACTTGTGAGTCTGCTGCAAGGTGCTGAGCTGCTTTTCAACATCTCGGGTCAACTTCGAAAAGTGGTTATGTTCTTGGAGGTCGTCTGAACTCCAAATCAGGATCGCGTCGGACAGCATGCCTTCAGCATTGTGTCCAAAGTCGTTTGCCAAGGACAGCGCAGCGGACTTCAGCCTCTCAGGGAGAGAGGCTGAAGCTTGAAGTAGTGAAGTATTGGGATGGGTGGGATGGGTTCCAGGATTTGCCTCGTGTTGTAGGGCTCCAGGCTAAGCGGCTGCACCTTTAAGGCCTTGGCTTTGCTCCGTTTGTACACGAAACCCCTACATGCTGACATCTCACCAACTAACTGAGACTGCTTTCAGAGTGGCAGAATAGGACGCAGAAGCGCAAAGTGATATAAGGAAGACGTGAGTCAATAGGCAAGCACTGCAAAAAGGTCTCTTGAGAAGAAATTCGAAGCCAGCGAGGATCGGCCTCAGAGGATTTGGGGGAGCTTCGCACTTCAAGTTGCTCACTGGACTCACTAGTGTTGCACTGCAAGCAGTCTGCAGGCGCGAGCCAACACATCTCAGCTGGTTGCTCGCTTGTGATCAGCTCGCTCTCGCAGGGACGGACATCCTCCTGGACCATTGCAGTGGAGGCCTAGTGGATAGGGAGACCTGAAGCCATGAAGGCTGCAGACGCATAGCAGCCATGGCGCAGCTTCAAAGCTCCTATCAACCTACCTGGCAAGGCATGCGCAAACGAGGTAGCGACCGAACGCAGAGGCCGCGCATTGCCCTGAGAGTCGTGTACATCCAGGACAAGGTCCAAGACCTTTTGGAGACCAGAAGAGGGCAGCTTTCACAAAGCAGCGTGGTGTGGCTTGGTGTGGCCTGCGGTGTAACCATGAAGACGCTGACCTTTCGCCAAGATACTGATTTCACCCCTTTTGTATCAACTCCACATCCTAAACATTCACCCTGAAACCTAACCTGTGAAATGCGACTGTGACCCTAAACCCTAAGCTTGAACAGCTTCGTGGAGACAGCGCAAGGAATAGCATGCTGCTCTATTCACTCCCAGATGTAGATGAACAACTATTCCAACCTCCTCGGCAGCAATAGTGTTGGCAAGATACTCAGGACCTACATGCAAGGCAAGAACCGCAGGCTCTGGTAAACAACTGACGCACTGTAGCTGGGGTTCAGGCTCTTGTGTCCGTTTGCTGATGCAACAACCAATTTACCACCTCCACAGGCACATGGCCCATGACAATAATAAGGAGAATGATATCGGCACGCAAAGCGGCCTTGCGTTAGCACCGGAAACATCTCCCACTCCTGGAGCAAATATTTCCGCATTTAATCCTTACCAAAGCCTGAGGTTTGCTTCAGACAAGTGGCAATGATTGCCCAGAAATACCTCACCACAGCTCTCAGGAGCAGCTGGAATGGTGCTGACATATCCGAGAGAGCTCAGCAACGAACGGAGATTTAAGGAGCGCCACAGATGTTGAATCCACCTCACCTGAAATTTTCCAGCTGCAACATCTCCAGCCCGGCAGAATTCGCACTGGGCACATGCAGGCTGAGGCGCAAGCATTGGCTCCCAAAGAAATACACTCCGTGCATGAGGTGCTGGTGATCGTAAACAATTCCCTGCCAAAAGAACCCATACCACACGAGATAAATGCTGGCCGGCACAAAAGCCACAGAACCTTGGGAGCTCCAGTGGTCCCGGAAGTGTAGATCAAAAGAGCCATATCAGACGCCTGCCGTGCATCTCACACTTTGAAAGCCGAATTACGATATCGCATCTGTTCTAACCCCTCCGTTCCCACAAAACTGAATTGATAGCAGGCATTCCTTTTAACAAAAAAAACATGTCGCCTTTAAGTCTGGAATCCCTGCGCTCGCCTCCGGACGACGATACCCCCCTGCATATCCTGCACTGGGACCTGACGGACGGAAAAGGCTGAATGACATGGACTTAGAAGCAGACATCCTACAAAAAAAGCTACACGCGACACACAGAGCCTGCCCCACTGGCTGGCTCGCCGTCTGAGGCAAAAGAGTGAGCACGTGAACGCTGCCTCCGCCTGGGCTGTTACACTCTTTCTTGTCTTAAAGCAGATTCTTCCATCAACAATGATCCAGCTTGGTGCCGTCCATGCTCTGCTTCAAGCAATATAACCGCATACGTGCTGGCTCCATGAATCTATCCAAACTCTGCATGCCTGTCAAGTAACGCCAAGTGTTGCTGATTGCTATACCTATTGGAAATCTTAAGATGCCCCAAGCACGCTTATCTTCATCCAGGACTCAGGAGCTGCATACCAGAACGAGAACCATCAGCCGGTAGAGCGATGAAGTTGCAGCCGATCTGTACAGCTCCCGAATTGCGACACAACCCATCACTGGACAAGATGCGTGCCTCTGTTGCCAGCTCACGCGCTACATCATCTCCTGGTGCAGGGCATTTTGAGAAGTCCACAACAGTAACAGCAGTACCCGACCTGATACCGCAATCAATGCTGCGGCTTCGCTTTCGTGCAACAGGAACTGCTTGCGTGCCAGTGGTGCATCCTGACCCAATGACGTAGCATAATGCCCAACTTGAGGAACCTCATCTGAGTCCACGGCGTTGTCCACAGGAAGAAACGCAGCCCCGGCCTGCAGCTGCCAGCTGTGCAACGTGCAAAGGAGACACATACTACAACAGAAGCAACTGCAGCTCCGCCTTCAAGGTGCCATACACAGCCACAACCTGTGCAACACTCCTGTCCATGACCAGCGCAACAACCTCAAGTTGATGCAAGCCCGATCATCATCTCATGAATGCACTCTGAGCGGATGACTGAATCGCAAGAGATCCCCAGCGAGAGCAGTGTATCGGCAACCTACACATTGCTGTGCGCAGTGTCGGCGAAGCCCATCGGTCAAGCACTGGTGATAAACCTCGTCCACGCAGGCCGCCAATTCCTTGTAGGTTATCTCCTCACACACTGCTTGCATTCATGCGTCCGTTTCAATTGTCAATGGTAGCACAGAAATTGCTTCCTTGGATGCTCGATTTGCCCCAGGTACCTGCTAAGAAAATGAGATGAAATGAACCTAGCTGCCGAGACCCTGTGAGTGCTGAGGCTTGAGCAATAAGAGCTGTGGCTCCCGGACGCTCCTGCACATGCAGCAAACATGCCAACCGCTTTGTTCCACGGGCCGACTGAAGGCAGGCAGCACCATGAAAGGAAGCAGGCAGCAGGACCTTCACCTGCTCCTCGAAAAGCTCAATGACTCTCCTTCATTGGTCCAGCATGGTCGAGACAGAGGCATGGGAACATACCCGAACAGCTACAAGGATGAAGTCTCTTTTTGGGTCCGCGAGCAGATCTCAGGTTCCTCAATGCGGAGTTCAGGTTCATCTGGGCACGAAGATCGATTTTGTCTCGACATCTCGTGGACGAGGAAGTTCATGCCCACTCTTTGGTAGGATGTTCTGTCTTGCTCCACACTGATTTTTTGACAGTGGCCAGTGATGGCCAGTGTCAGGGGGGACCCTGGAGGATGGAATCCGGCAACAGCATTGGCTTCCCGCTCATTAGGCTGGGAACGCCTACTGGGCCCAGGAGTCCCAGCGGTGGCCTATGGACGGCACCCAGCACAGCAGACTACCATCTTGATCAAATGATCAATCATGAAAGCTTTGCCGGAAGATCTGCCAATCCCTGCCTGAACTCATTCCTTCGAGGCTCTTGTCTCCGCGCAGCTGGAGCAAATCGTCGCACTTCCTGCAGCAGAACTTCGAATTGCCACATGCTCACATGAGCGTTCGCCGGCACTCCTTGTATAATCCGATGCCATGGAACATTTGGGGGGGTCCTATCGCTTTTGGGGGGTTTTGGCATAGGATACTAAGAAAGGTATTGCTTTTGCCGGGTTTAACCCAAACAGAGTCATCGTTCCGCCTTCGATTCGGGGTATCGCTTTTTGGGGGGTCCTCCTGCTTTTGGGGCTTTTTGCGCGATTCCTACATCTCACGATATTCCTTCTCTTTGTCCCTAATACGCAAGTATTGACCATTGCTCACATGGCTTCACGCTGCTCATGCTGCTGCTATTCATGGGTCCTTATCATCGTTCAGCTTCTGGCAGCTGTCGGACAGCGCAGTCCACGTGTCAGGCGGGGAGTAATCGATGCCGAGCAGGGCATTGATTTCATCAGCCAGGAGAACAAAGTCAGGCTCCTCTCCAAGGCAGAAAAAATCAAGATGGCAGACCCATGCTCGTTGAACATGGTTTGGCACTCACTTTCATGGCCTGGACATAGGGCTTCATGTCGCCCATCATCTTGTAAACTCCTACCGCAGTGCCTTCGTACCCGAACTTTGGCAGTACTTGGCTCTGCACAGTTAGAAATAACTTTTGCCTGCATCATCAGCACATTCGCGCAGCTCGTGAACACTGGGCAAAGGCAAGGACACTCTCCCTGCCTCTGCTCCAGGAATTTCGTCTTTCTCAGCTCACCTCTATCACATTGCTCTTTCAATTTGTGCAGTTCGTCCTCCAAAGAAAGGTTGATGTCATCTCAGCTTAAGTGGAAACTCACCAGCTGACTGTGTCCTGGAAGCTGTCTTCAGCAAAGCCTGCCCGCAGAGCCTTTTGCAAGGAAATGAATTTTGCCAGTGAACCTTCCGGATTGGCCACATCCGATGCAGCTTTTTTGGCAATTTCCTGCAGGCGTTGATCGTACTTGCTCCCTCTGCGCAGCAGAATCCCCTGCCAGGCCTCAAAAACAAATTCCTCTCGTTGCTTGGGGGCCTCTGCAGGCTCAAAGCCTGCAAGAAGAACCTCTCGAAGATCTCCGAGATCTGCAGTGTCCTTGTAGGAGCAATACACGCCACCTGCCCATTGATGGCATTTTTCACGGCATCGAACAACGTCATCATGTAGCAAGAAACATGCACGCAACCAGAGCATGATATCTTTCAGCAATGGCCGGCCTTCCTTCCTCACAAGCTGGCCTGCAAAGGAGGCATTGGCATCCTCAGCATGATGATATCCACCAAGGTCTTTAAAGACTGTCTAACAATTCGAGCACAACAAAGTCAGGAAGTGCCAGGCGGTCCTGCAGAAAGCGCTTGGCAAGCGCACGCTTCAAGTCCGAAAAGGAAGAGTACTGAGGCATCCAAATCAGAAGCTCCCAGCCGTGGATTGCATGTCGGACCACGACTGGTCTTCGCTGTCCGACTTCACCAGGAGAAGTCGGTACTGGTGAGGTGACAGGGAGGTTTTCCTTGGCCTCTTCGGCCTCCTCACCTCAGTTCAACCAAAGCCCACAGTCGGATCTCACACTCACAAAGATGCAATCCAAGCTTCCAGAAAGCTCGTCAAAGTCAAACATGGTGGCGGAAAGTCTGTGCTTGCATTGGACCAAACGGCTGCAGAGAACAGCGATTTACCAAGATGCTCGCTCCTACCGCAATCAAGCAAGCTGCCGCGCGACGATCAGAGTGGCATGCCGAGTCAATGTCTACCAGGACTTTAACAAAAGTATTAAAACACTGGTACTTGCAACAAGAACTCTAGCATCGCGTCAGCAAGAAAGTCTGAGCAGCTTGACCAGGATCTAGCATGAGTATGAGCACTTGCTTGTCCTGTCGGCCGGATACGAAGGTGTTGGCCTGATTGCAAACTGTGGCAGAAACGGACCAGTGATTGGTGATTGGCCACCTGTGGTCCGAGCCCAATCGCAAGATGGTCAGACTGGCTACAGAGCTCCGCGACATCCTGCAACGGCTGCGACCATATCACTGCAGAACAACAACAGAAAGGTTCGGGCATACTCTAGGACCACATGGTGACATCACAAGGTCATGGTGCATCTTGCAAGCTTGTTGACCTCCACAAGTGGTGTTTGCTGGTCACGCATGCGGAGCGCCTTAGGTAAAGGCGTCAGGTATGATTACTTGTAAAAAGCGAGAAACTTCTTGGAGTTTTTGACATACCGAGCTTGGCACCCTCGCACCAACGGAGATGTTCTTTTTGAACCGCCGCCCGCATTCCACGATCTTTGGCCTGATAACGTCGACCAATGGTGTCTGCCAGCGCTCTTTCGCAAGCAACGAAACAGCTGTGTCACGGCCTATTTGTCCGAAAGGCCAATCGGTCAGATTTCATGGTGCTTAGCCGCAAGAAGGTCATGAGAAGTCAGCACAAATAGGCATGGTACCAGAAGTGCACGATGACGCACACGAGCACCCAAAACCTAAGCAAGGGAAATACCATTTTCCCCTTTGCTTCGGAGACAAACGTGATCATTCCACACCATGCAACACATGTGACAAACATGCAACACCCCATCTGCCAAATGTTGTGTCGTCTGACATCCAGGATTGCCGCGATGCAGGGGGGAACTGAGCGCACAGCAACGCATACAGAATGAGGAATGCTGCTTTGTCGCCTCCTGACAACCAATCATGTCCCAAACTACCATGGGTATGGCTCACAACTCTTCTTGCAACAAACACTTCCCGCCTGACCAAGCGGTGTTCGGATCTCGCCAATCCTGAATATGTCCAGACGATGACAAAACAGCGCATCATGTTCCAGAGCCTTCGCAAATGGAAATTCTCCACTTTCGGGCACTTGATCCGATGACCTGCATGTGTGGTCGCCGATATACTGTATGTCGGAAAAACAATCCAGTTCAAAAGCACACTAGCTGACAACATGTGACGGCAGCCTCAAATACCATCGTGGACCAGACAACATGGTCTTGGAGAAACTCTTTGATGGCAAGCAATTGGTTCTTGATAAACGATGCTGCAAAACGTTGGTAAATTACTGGTACCAGTGATGCCGAACAAATCACCTAAGACACGTCAGCGCAACATGCTCACATGAAATGGCCGCGATTCGGCAAAGCATCAGTACATCAAACACAATGAAAATACATTCATTGGCACACTCCACATTCCCACAAGCGTGTGGTCCGGCCGCCAGCTGCAAAAGCCGGGCTCCTGCGCCTTAAAAATTCCGGTCGCGTCTGGGCATTAAAACCCTCGTTTACATGGAGAGTTCCTGTCAACAGATACTACAAGAAACAAAAAAAAAGGAAAAAATAACAACAGGCCAAAACTCGGTCATTACGTAGCTCGTTGCCCACAATTTGACGATGGCATGCTGCACGCACCCCAGACAGCCGCATCGTTAGCAGAATTGGGGCGCATCTGATTTTTTGAAGCATTCTCGCGTACCAGGGGTCTGCAAAGAGGCTGCCAAGCAGCCAAGCATGCCAGAGCCTGCCGGAAGGTTTGCTGTTCGAAGGTCAATATTTCATTGGTTGCTCAACGTTTCAAAGCCACTGACATTGGCCCAACTTGCGAACTTTTTGCGATTTCTCAGAAGAACCGAAATGCGGTCCAGCTTTCACATTTTTTTGCAACTAACTGCTCAACAAAAAAATTACACTGGCCCAAGTTCCTGTCTAGTTTTTTGAACCTCTCCGAAAAAATATGCAGCTTTATTTCCGAACAGCCGAATTGGCGCCCTGGTTTGTTGAGCCGCCGTTGCCGTTCCCACGCGAAACATTTTTGGAACTGAAGCCAAAGTAGAAAAGCTCGCTGTGGGGGTGGCTGACGTTGTGTGACCGGATTTGCTTACATACAACCACACAAACTTTGCCTTGCTTCCCACATCCCGCAAGTTCTGATTCATTTCATCTGAAGAATATCCTTCCTTCTCTCCTCCCACTTCCCCTTCCCCGTCCCTTCCCCTCTCCCGCTCCCCCTCCCTTCATGTTATGGTGCTGCTGCCACAAATCTATACCATAGTCCCGGCTTTTGCCGTAGGCCAAACGCCATTACCGCCAACCCTGCATCATTGGAACTCCGTTTCTCCAGGCGCCCCCGTCCAAGGCGATCCAAAAACATGGTTTGAAATATACACGTTTGCACATGCGAAACCCAACCACACGAAGAGATTTTGGACCCGGCATGGCCCGCTTTTATTTTCACCGTCTTTGCTGCAAAGTGTCGCGGTTCTTTGCCAAGCATAGTGCTTTGCCCGGAGCTGCTCTTCAGCATCCCAGCTTTTAGAAGAGAGACCCCGGTCCTGAGACCCAGAAGCGGGAATCTCCATTAACTTGCGGTTGTTCAAAACTCACGAAGAATGAGCCTTTCCCAAAGGCTCCCTGATCCTAAAATCAGGACTAGTGAGGGCTTCCCAACCCTAGGTTTAAATTCAGGAATAATGATGGATTCCCAATGGACGTTTACGCATAGATCTTCGACGTGTTGCTTCCTCTTAGCCCGAAATTTTGGAAACAGTCCTTGCGAAGTCTTATGATTTGGACCTTGGCGATTATTCGTAACGTCAAAATCGGGGCTCTGCGTGGTTTCACTGCTCCTGTCCAAGACCTACCACACAAGCACACGAAAAGCACTTTCCTTTTCTTGGGTTGCTCTGAGTGTAGTTTTCTCGGCTGAGCTCATCTGCCCAGACGTTCTTCTGTCCTGACACGTGGGAGACGCAGGGCTACCAAGTGTGCGTGTGACCATGAGGCCAGCAAGCGCAGGAAAAGGCAGAGAGGAAACGCTGTTAAGAAGAGTTTGTTGGCCCCCGGGGGTCTTGTCTGAGCCTGCAGGCATTGCGAAAAACGAAAGATAGGTATTTGAAAACCAACCTTGTTGGGGCCATATGGAGCAAGGCTAGCTGAGTAAAGGTCTCGAAACAGGCTATGTATTTCTGTGCACCTTTGCAAAGCTGAGGCCAGAGTTTTCTGATGTCCTTCGCGGACCAGATCTCTGAGAACAAGTGGAGTCCTTCTCGGGTGCACAGTCAGCCCCCTATTGCCGATTGTGTCGCCAGGGCCTCTGCTGTGAAAGGCTGGAGCACACAAGGGGCTGCCCGAGACTTTGTTTGGGCGGCTTGCACGCAACAGAGGAACCGGGCTAGGATCTTTTTGTTGCTTTGGTAAGGGCGATGTCGCTTGATGTGGGATCTGCAACGCGTATCCATCTGAGTCGAGTTTGGCAGAAGAGGTACGTTGGACTTGCGCCTGACCCTCGCGCTGCCGACCTCAATCACCCTAGAGGAGGCTGGAATGTGGAGGCCTGGTGGTTGCTTAACCACAACTGCTTTGGCGTTGAGGCTATAGATGAACCTTTGCCACATGCGCGACTGTGCGCTAGCTTGTCTGGTTGCAGGCTGATGGTTTCAGAGCGGAAGTTGAATTTCCAGCCGCACCAGATAATCGTGTCGCCGAAGGCTGCCTTTTTCCAAGAGATGGGGGACTTGAGGCAACGCCTGTTCTTGCACCCAGAATGCGGTTGAGCCAAAACGGTTGCGTCGACAACTTCTGTTACAAACTGGTTTTCAGTTTGACCGCTTACAACATGTGCGCAACTGTACCTGCATGGACACAAACAAACTTCTTACACAGCGTATTGGGCTTGGGTATCAACACATGCTCATTAAGGTTAACACCTCACCTTACTGTAGCCGCATGGCATCCTTTCGATTCTGGGGCTACATCACAAACTCTAACTCATTCAAGTCTCTGTACCAGTCTCCACAATCCATAACTGTAACTATACAAACTCTCTCATCTCTAACTTCTACTTTCTTCTTTTGTTTGACTTTCTTGTTCATCTTCTTCACCATCTTGCGGTGCTTGGCATTAGTTACCTGAGTGAAACTCTTTTGGACACTCACGTCTTCACACTCGTGCGTCGAACTTCTTCGCAGTTACAGCTTTCTATGTACACCTGTACCTTTGTACACAGCTTCACTTTACTCAGGAGACAAACTTACGCGCGGCAGCGGTCACATTGACGAAGTCCACGTGTGATTGCTTCACTACGGGTCATTCTTGCTGCACTACGGGTCATTATTGCCAACTGATTTGGCCTGTGGTTTCTCAATCTGTGGGCATGTCGCTGTTGCTGCACACCCCAGTTCTGGTGACCTTGACCATGGCCCTGTCCTCACAACATTTCACCTGTACTCAGCAACCTGAACTTCACACCGGAGCTCTTGAGGAATTTGTTGCCTTTGCTGCACATCCCTCTTTGTTGCTGGCGACGTTGCTCCATGGTGGACAGGAACTTCAATGTTGTCTCTCGCCCAAGGACGCAACCTCGATTCATTCTACTGAGTCTACTGCTCCCGGTTGTCCAAAACCGTCTTGTCCTCCTGGTACTCCAGCTTGTCCTTAAGGTTGTTGCTCTGGTTCTCTTCCTGGTCCAGGTTGTTGCGCCGGTTCCTGGTACAGGCTGTTGAGGTTCTTCTGCTGGTTCATGTTGTTGAGGTACTCCTGCTGGTTCTGCTTGGGGTTTCTCTTCGAATTCTGCTTGGCGTAGGAACCTTGTGCTCTTTTCCCACATGAACCAAACGATCGCGCCGATGCATACGCCGAACAAAACCAAACAAACATCACGCACCAAACTCACAATTTGTATGGCGTGGGTCCACGCGGTGCTTGCGCGGAACCTGTGCACGCAAGTCTGTTACGGGTCCGCGATATTGGCGGAGTCTACGCTTGCAAGAAAATTATTTTATTGGAAGAGAGAGAGAGGGCCCAGAGGGAAGCCAGTGTTGGAGGTGTGTGGTAGTTGTTTTTTGAGTGTTGGTTTATTTACAGGTCCACGCGGCCCCCTGCGTGTCATTTGTATAGTGGCGTGGGCTCACGCAAGTCCTGCACACTGCGCGGGCTAACAGGTCAAAGAGGGTAATGTTGTTTGCGTGGCGGAGCCACGCGGCTCCACACAGCTCTTTGATCCATAAGGAAGCGATGTGGCCCAATTGTGTGGCACGGATCCACCGGATCCACGCGGGTCCTAGAAGAAGCGAGAGAGACGGGCACCTATTCCTTCTAACAATAGCACCGCAAAACCAAAACGAGGCAGCGCGATGTCTAGGAATAGATGACAGCTGATAGATTGGAATATTCGTCTTGTCGCAAGCCTTTACTCCGGCACCCGCATCACCCAAGACCGCCAAGCCAAGACCCAAGCGTTACCTGCCACACCAGCATCAGCAGCATCGACGTCACCAGCATCAGCATGATAGCAGCGGCTTCCAAATCCCAACGGAAGATCAAAATCGAAACGACCATGACTCAACCTTGCAGCAGATACACAAATCATAATTTCCCACAATAGGGAAGGCCCCAATCCAACACAGACCCCAAAATACCATAATCCTGTGATGGAGATTTGGAAAAAGTGCCTTATCTTGGGAACCCTGAAATATCAAAAACCTCTCTAAAGATGTTCGGCTACGCCGGCCACATTGCAGATCCCGGTTTGGCGACCCCAGGCCCCAAGCATTTAAGCATTACGACTGGATATTTCCCCTGAAAGCTGAAATCTCGGCAAGAGTCCAAGATGTAACTAAGGAAATCATCGGTCATGGAGCAGATCTGAGCAATGTTCGCTACATCGTACCTCTGGTTGGAGAGCTGCAATGCTTATAAGACTTACAAGGGCTCAGGCTGAGGCACAAACGCAACAGTCAAAATATCTGTGAGCTTGCAACTAACACGCAAGCAGCAGCTTCTCTGATTGCGACTTTCCATAGTCTAGATCCCGCTTGCACCTACCTACACCACAAGCCCTAATGAGTGCGAGGCAGGAATGCCAGAACGCTAGATCTTAG